GTAACTTGTGAAGCAGGTCTGGTTCAAACAACCTGATGGTGAAACTGAAGTGAACAAGAAACTCATGAGATCATCCACACACACACACACACACACACACACACACACACACACACACACACACACAGGTTTTGTGTTGTTGCCATGGCGATGTGATGTCATCAGAGGCATCAGTTAAAACACATTTCATCTGAAGCTGATCAAACTTATTGACCAGTGATCAGCTGATGACTTTATAGACTCACTGATTGTGGTTCTGAGCAGAACTGATGTGTTGAGTCTGAGTTTTTAGTTTTAGTTGTTTTGGTTTTTTTGAGTAGAAGAAAAAACGCTGATAATCGTATCGAACTTCCTGGAAACTCGTCAAACCACAAACATGCAGCAGTGGTGTCCACATACTTTTGGCCATATCAGCGTTTTGTATCACGATAAACTCTGTTAACGTCTCAGAGAGTTTTCCTGTCAAACGCTTCGTTCAGCTTGTGGAAACAGAAGACGACCAGAAGTAAGTGGACGTCTGGCAGCTGTGGCTCGTCCACTCCGTGAACACATGAAGCAGAGACATGACTCTGAGCTGTTTGCGTCTCAGTTTGTCGCTGCAGCACAAACGCCTGCACAAACCCACACATGAACACACAACTGTCAGAAGAAACCACAGCGAGCAGCTGAGGAAACCACCGAGCAGAACAGTTTCTACTTCACACGCTGACATGGTTTGAACATCCTGAGGAGGAAACACGACGAGTGTTCAGAAGTATGTGGACACTCAGAGTTGTATCTCTCCACCAAACTCTGTTCACTTTTCTTCAGATTTTAGGGGATTCTGCGTGTTTCTAGGCTGATTGAAGCCTTTCGCTCGTTCCTAAAGGACCGACGGCAGACTTCCACTCAGCAGTGCCTCTGTTTGTTTCTGCACGTCAGCTGCTTTCTGTCCGTTTGTAATGTTCATCTTATGATGTTTTGTTGTGTTTCTTTGTGGACGTGTGCTGCTGCCTTTCTGTGAAAGAAGCTTGGATCTCAATGGATCGTTTATCTGGTTAATTAAAGGTACAATAAAAATAAAAGCTGTCTGTATGTGGACACGTCTGTTCACTGGCTGCTGTGCTTCTTCTGGTCCAGTAACATGAGTTTTAAAGCAAAACATCTCATGTGAAATCACCACATGTTGTCTGTGAACACGTATGTTGTCTGTGAGCACGTATGTTGTCTGTGAACACGTATGTTGTCGGTGAACACGTATGTTGTCTGTGAGCACGTATGTTGTTGGTGAACACGTATGTTGTTGGTGAACACGTATGTTGTCAGTGAACACGTGTGTTGTCGGTGAACACGTATGTTGTCAAGTGAACATGTGTGTTGTCAAGTGAACATGTATGTTGTCGGTGAACACGTATGTTGTCAAGTGAACATGTGTGTTGTCAAGTGAACATGTATGTTGTCGGTGAACACGTATGTTGTCAAGTGAACACGTATGTTGTCTGTGAGCACGTATGTTGTCNTTAAGCAGAAGTGTTTTTGCAGTAAACAGACATCGTTCCGTCCAAACATGGCCGCTGCTCTCAGCCAATCGGAGCTCAGTGGCTCACCTGTCGTGCTCCGTCTTGCAGGTGTGGGTGTTGGACTACTTCGGCGGCGTGAAGGTCGTCTCTCCGGAGGAATACTTCCAGGCACCGCCGTTCAAACACCACTGATCGGAGCGGCCGCTTCTGTAGTCCTAAAGGTATGTTTGTAGTCCTCCGGGGGCGGCCATGTTTGTCTGGTGGATTTAAAAACGACAGCGACACATTTTACAAACGGAGACTTTTACTGTGACATAGTCGGTTCATGTTAGGTCGACTTTTTAGGATGGGTTTTGAGAATTTGAAAATGATGAAGAGTTTCTCTCAGAACTGTGGCTCATTTTGTTGCAGATCTTTATTTTTCCATCGTTCCTCCACAGATCGGCGCCTCCAGAACCGTGTGACAACCCAAGCCTTCCTCAGGAACTCCAGTTTGTTCTTTATTAACTTTGTCTCATCACTCGTTTAAAAGCTTTACATCAAATTTCTTTTTATTCTTTAAATTTCATCACTTGTTTCTACTTGACAGAAAAAAAAAGATAGAATCTGATTTGTTCATTTGATTGGAGCTGAACGTTGCCGTTGGCCGGTCAGGACGGAGGTCAGTGTGAGGCATGACGTGTTCTTCAGCTGTGTGAGGTGTGTGTCGCTGTTCAGTTTGACATGAAGAAGCGCTGCTGGACTCCAACCAGCTGAACACCTCTTCTTCCAACAAACCTGCTTTTCATTTGGGCCGTTTGATTCCAGCTCCGCTTTTTTATTTTAAATGTATTTTTCCAGTGATAATCAGTATTTTTTTAAAGCATTGTGTTCACGTTGCTGCAGAAAACCTGCTTCAGCGACCTTTATCCAATTATACGCACAAGAAACCAGTTCTTAGTCTGAAAACTGACGAAAAAGGAGCGTTTGGGGGCGGGGCTGTCTGAAGTGGGCGGGGCTGTCTGAAGTGGGCGGGCCATAGATATGTCTAATAAAGGCTAGATGTCTTAAGGCGGTGTTTTGAACGGGATCACCGGTGGCCATCTTGCCCCGGGGCAGCTCTCTGGTAGAACCTGTGGTCCATGAAGGAAGGCGAGGGATCTGCACAAACGTAGATACTCTGATCTCGCTGAAATCTGGACGGATTTACAAATGGTTTGGTTTCTTCCAAACATTCTTAACGTGGCTACAATTCAAGTTATGATGAGATATAATAATTTATAATATATATCATGATGATCCCAAACTTTTGACCAGAAGTGTACCATCATTATCCGTCAGTGCAGAGTTACAACTACACCTCTGACGTTTAGAACAAACCAAACCGTTTGGAAATCGGTAGAAAACTGAGCAAGTTCTGGTTCTTTAAAAAGTCCATGCACCTCTACAGCACAATGTTATGGGTGAGCGAGTGGACCGGACCAAGATGGCCGCCAGTGTGGCTGTGAGATTCCATTGGCCGACAGGGCGGATGAGACATCTTGCCTTTATTATATGTATACATGGGCGGGGCTTTCTGGGGTGGGCGTGTCGCTCTGATGTGGGCGGGGCGTTCAGATGTGGGTGTGTTGCTTTGATGTGGGCGGGGCTTTCTTGGTGGGCGTGGTGTTCTGATGTGGGCGGGGCGTTCTGGGTGGGCGCAGCGTTCTGGGTGGGCGTGGTCTGTGTGTTTTGGTCTTCAGGACTTTGACGGTGCACTTTGAATAAAACGCTCAGTTTGCTGTGGAATGTGATTCTTTATTTTTCTGGAAGCAATAATTTGTATAAATAAAGATTTGAGTGAACAACAAGATGTTTTGTTTGTTTCCTGTTCTTTGGTGGCGTCGCAGGAAGCTGGCCGACTCCAGGTTTCCTCTGATGTCGGTGACGGTTCAACTTGATTTCATGTTTCTGTGTCTGAGTCGTGAAACAAACCAAGAACTTGATGCTGGTGTTTGTTTCACCTGGATGCAGACAACAGTAATCAGATTACCTTTAAGTCAAACTGCAGAGCGTTTCCTCCGATGAACGATCACAAACACTCGACAAAGACTGAACGAGCATCCGCCATGTTTGGTGTGAAGCAGGACGCCTCCG